TGGTGAAACCCTGTCTCTACTAAAAATATAAAAATTAGCTGGGTGTGGTGGCACACGCCTGTAATTGAGCTACTCAGGAGGCTGAGGCAGGAGAATTGCTTGAACCCAGGAGATGGAGGTTGCAGTGAGCCAAGATTGTGCCAGGGTACTCCAGCTGGGCAACACAGTGAGACTCTATCTCAAAGAATAAAAATAAAATAAAATCCTAGATGAAAATAAAGGTAAATCTGGTTCATTCTAGGACTCTTTGTTTCTTCTAACAATATGAATATGTTTCTATTCTTTTTAAACATTTCTGGGTTTGAGCAGTTCTTTTCACTTTACTCTTTTAATAGCCAAAATCAGGTATTTGTAGTGACTGCAGTCTCCATCTTCTGGCCTTGTATTGATGAAAAGCAAAACAACCACCCCAAATTAACTGCTTTTATTATTTTCAGATGAAATTATTTTACTTCAAGAAAAATAGGGCTTGGCCCTTTATCTCTGACTGCTCATCAAATTATCTGAATGGCTTTGCCTATGAAAGAGAAATGGAAGGGGAATAAATTGGAATATTCAATAACTATTTTTATGTGATTTTTCTATTTTCAGGTATCAATCATGGAGATCTTAATGACCATAATATTTTAATAGAGTCCAGCAAGTCAGCCTCTGGAAATGCTGAATATCAAGTGTCTGGGATTTTAGACTTTGATGACATGAGCTATGGCTACTATGTGTTTGAACTGGCAATTACCATCATGTACATGATGATTGAAAGCAAAACTCCTATACAAGTAGGAGGCCATGTCCTTGCAGGATTTGAAAGCATCACCCCACTGACAGCTGTAGAGAAGGGTGCTTTGTTTTTACTTGTATGCAGTCGTTTTTGCCAGTCACTTGTCATGGCTGCATACTCTTGCCAGCTATACCCAGAGAACAAAGATTATTTCATGGTTACTGCAAAAACCGGGTGGAAACACTTACAGCAAATGTTTGACATGGGTCAGAAAGCTGTAGAAGAAATCTGGTTTGAAACTGCCAAATCCTATGAATCTGGGATCTCCATGTGACTGAGATCTCCATGTGACTAAAAGTTCACTTTAATGTGGGTAATTACAATAGGGCCCAATCAAATTTTAGGAAGGATTTTCCTGTATAGTTAAAAATCAATTGATGGAATGGATCAATTCTGAATATGACAGAGCACATGAAATCCCTAAGGTCTTCAAGCAATCTCATGACAATTTTTTAAAATTCACAAAAGTACCACGAGCAAGCATATTTTTCTGTGAGTCTCACCTGCCATGTCTATAAACACATATGATACCATTTTGAATCAGATAATCTCACAAGATCTATTCCAGTCCTGAGATTAATGACTGTTTTTAATTTTTAAAATAATATATACATACAGATATATTGACATATTTTAAATATCTGGACATAACATACTGACCTAGATAACATACTAGCAGTTCTATGAAACCTCCTCTGATCTGTCCTTTCTCTCAAATCCCAGTGCACTGTGTCTTTTTCATGGCCCATCACTTTGCATAATGGATCATGGTTGTGCAGTCATCTTGCCTGAGAGCTATTGAGGGCAGAGACCATGTAAAACTTATTTTTGTCTTCTCATCCCTTCTTATCACACCTGCTATTATAGTGCCTTTCCTACAGAGAGGTCTTTAAAAATATTTGAAAATAAATGTGTGCTAGAAGGATGGAGAAGGCACACACTAAGATGCTTTAGGAGAAAGCACAGACAGCTTTCTTTTTTTTTTGAGACAGAGTCTCACACTATTGCCCGGGCTGGAGTGCAATGGCAATTTCGGCACTGCAACCTCCACTTCCCAGGTTCAGGCAGTTCTCCTGCCTCAGCCTCCTGAGTAGGTGGGATTACAGGCGCCCGCCACCACGCCAGGCTTATTTTTTGTATTTTTTAGTAGAGACGGGGTTTCACTATGTTGGCCAGGCTGGTCTTGAACTCCTGACCCTGTGATCCACCCACCTCAGCCTCCCAAAGTGCTGGGATTATAGGCGTCAGCCACCACGCCCGGCCACAGGCAGCATTCTTGGAGAAAAAATTTTAACTTGTCTGAGAGGGTGGTTGAAACTGGAACTCCAGAGACAGATGCTGGAAGACCCTGGGAACTGCAAGGAAGCAAATAATGACATCCAGGCAAGGCCACTAACCCCTCACCTACCCAAATATAATGGTTCCTTTCAGACTGATACCAGGAACCTCCTTAAGCGTATATATTTTAATTCTCTATAATTTCTTTTTGGATGACTATGAAGTAGATTGGGTAGACTGAAGCTCACTGTATACTTGGCTGAAGGTATCCCACTGTGTTTCCTTCACTGGTTTCTCTTCATGTCTCCTTTAGTATGATTTAGTAAATGGCTGTTTACTATTCTTATGGTTTCAACTATTCATTGTCTACAGATGACTCAAGCCTAGAACCCTGGCCATTCAAACACTCAATAGTTATCTTTCTATATATATGAACAGGCATTGATCCTATCTCCATCTTTCTGTCTACCTACCTAGTCTTCCCAAAGTAGATATTTCTCTAAATTGTCTTATATGGTTCATTTTTCACTTCTTTGTCCCTTGATTTCATTTCATTTCTTTTTTTTTTTCTTTTTTTTTTTTTGAGGGCAGGGGGACAGGGTTTCACTGCAGCCTCAACCTCCTGGGCCCAGGTGATCCTCCCACCTCAGCCTCCCTAGTAGCTAGGACTTCAGGCATGTGCCACCATGCCCAGCTAATTCTTTAAATTTTTGTAGAGATTGGGGTAATACCTATCTCATACAGTTAACAGAGTTCATTGTGAGAATTTCATGAGAGAACAGTGCCAAGTGCTTAACACAGTGTAACACATAGGACTCAGTAACTATTTACTCAATAAATGAACCATATTCCAGGTTACCCAAACTCAAAATATTGGAGTAATTTTTTGCTTGCCTCTCTTATATTCAGTGAGCCCTACTGGTTTTTAGAATCGTAGAATTTTAGGAATCTCTGTCTTTCCTGAATTTTGGGGGGTTTTTCTTTTGTTTTTTTTTTGTTTGAGACAGGGTCTCAGTCACCCACGCTGGAGTGCAGTGGTGTGATCACAGCTCACTGTAACCTCTACCTCCTGAGCTCAAGCAATCCTCCCACCTCAGCCTCCTGAGTAGCTAGGAGTACAGGCATGTGCCACCATGCCTGGCTAATTTATTTTATTTTGTAGAGATAAGGCCTCACTATGTTGCCCAGGCTAGTCTCAAACCCCTGGACTCAAGCAATCCTCCTGCCTTGGCCTCCCTAAATGCTAGGATTACAGGCGTGAGCTATCATACCCAGCCTGTGCTGTTTTTTAACAATATATAATAAAAGCCAACATTTATTCAGCACTGAAGTATTTTACACACATTAGCTTACTCAATTTTTACAACAAACCCATGAGGGAAGTACTGTTATAATTAATTCTCATTTTCAAATAAGAAAATAGCAGCTGAAAAAGTAAAAATAATTTGCTCAAAGAGAGCTAGGGCTTAAATCAGGTCTTTCTGATGCAGACCATGCTCTTCACTACCACAAAGTTCCATGCTACTTTCTCTCCCTCTCCCTCCTTTCCTGTCCCTGCTGCACACACACACACACACTCACACACAGGAGGAACAAATGAGATCATTCACATGAAAGCACTTACGTTTCTCAAATTTAAGGGATTGTGGTGTTTATCTAGGTTGACCACTCAAGCTAAAAACTAGGAACCAGAAAAATGGACTGAAACTTGGGTTTCACTTTCAGACCAGTGTTGATCCTCTGAATTGATGAAACTCTATAGATTTCCCTCTTGATTGCTCCTACTAACATAGATTTCCTTTCACGCAATTCCTAATGCAGATATTGCTGACCACTGTTTAGATGTTTATATGCTGCATTACATTGATATTTTACTATTTGGTGTTTGTTCTAACTTGTCTCCAATCAATCAATTTCATGTGGTTTATATAAACTCTTTGGTGGCTGTGATGGTTAGTTTTAGGTGTCAACTTGCCTGGATTAAGGGACACAGAGATAGGTAGCAAAGCATTATTCCTGAGCATGTCTGTGTAGAAGTTTCCAGAAGAGACTGGCATTTGAATCAGTAGCTGAGTAAGGAAGATCCCCCTCACCAATATGGGTGGGCACCATCCAATCTGTTGAAGGTCTGGATAGAACAAAAAGACAAAGGAAAGATGGATTCAGTCTCTCTCCTGGGACAACCATCTTTTCTTGCCCTCAGATAGCAAAACTCCAGGTTCTTGGCCTTCAAACTCCAGGACTTAACCAGCAGCCCCTCAGAGGGTTCTTAGGTCCTCAGCATCAGACTGAGAGTTACACCATCATCTCCTTTGTTCTCCAGCCTTTAGACTCAAACTGAATCACACAATTGGCTTCACTGGTTCTTCAGCTAACAGAGAGCAATCGTGGGACTTCTTAGCCTCCATAATTTAGTTCCATAATAAATCCCCTCCTGTCTGTCTACCTATGCATCCATCCATCCCATTGATTCGGTTTCTCTGGAGAACCCTAATACAATGCATAAATTAAACATTTATTTTACTTTACCTTCAGGACCTAGCACCATGCCAGGCCCCTAGAAGACCCAGTAAAGATTTGTTGAATAAACTGTAAGAATGAACACACCACTACAAGTGCCAGGTCCTGGTCCTTTCAAACAACGTGGAGAAAACCCAGTTCCAGATTTAGGAATTAATACTGTATGTCTGGCAAAGACTCTTTGCTCTTGCTAGTGCCTTCTGTCCAGGCTTTTAACCCCCCTGGACTACAACACACCTTTACTTTCTGGTGTTCTTAGTCTCCCTAACCTCTGCACTTCGTATTATGTAGGCAGATAAGAACTCTGGTTACATATATTGCTCTGTGATGACCAAAAAAATTGTGGCTTAAAACTTTAATCATTTTATTAGCTTATGGTTTCTGGCAGTCATGAATTCAGACAGGCCCTGGGACAGTTTGTCTCTGCTCTCCAGTGCTGGGGCCTCAGCTAGGAAGACTTTAAGGCTGGGAGAGATTTGATGCCTGGGAGAGACTCAATCACTGTGTAACCGAACACTCGTTTCTTAAGAGTCCAATTGACAAGGGTGAGGTATGATAGAAAGACAGAATTTATTAACCAAAAATAGTAAAGGGAAAGCAGTCAGATTCCTTTCCAAATTAACGGCTTCTATTTTTAGGAAGAAGGCAGGGGTCTAAAAAGAAAAAACTTGATAAGGAAGACATGCAAGAACTGGGCTGAGTACAGTTGTCCGTGTGTCTTGTTCTGGTGGCTATCTTGGGTTCTGGTCCACCTGGACCCTGGGCTGATGGCATTTCAACAATGGCCAGGTTGTTAACTAGCTGCCTTGAAGTAATCTCTGGAACCTTGCAGCTGGGTCTCCAGACTTGGTCTCTGTGTCTCAGGATTGACCCCTGGAACTTCTAAGAAGACACATAATTAGATACTAATAGACAGTTATGTGAAGGGAGTATATATGATGAGAAAGGGAAGGATGTGGAGTCTAGAAAAGGCTTCTGCAGTTTGCTTCAAGGTTGTATCTTTAAACCCAAGGAAAAGGGGGAAAAAATTTTAATGCAGTTTGAAGCTAAGCTGCCTGGTTACAACTGGGTACTAGGATCATCTGGAGGGATCTTCACTCAGCTATTTGGCAGGTGGTGCTGGGACTTCATCTAGGCTGTTGGCCAAACACCTCTCCATGTGGCCTTTGCCTCCTCACAGCATAGTGTCTGCGTCCCAAGAACGACCATCCCAAGAGGACAAGACAGAACCATATCACTATTTGTGACTTGCTCTTGGAAGTCACATGATATCCCTTCCATTGTAGTCACAGGCTCACCCAGATTCAGAATAAGGGGACACAGAACCTCTCAATGGGAACCATCTGCGGCACATTGTAAGAGGAACATGTGGGATGAGAGATGTTGACGGTTCATCATCCTAAAACATCACTTTAATCCTGTCTTCCCATTACTGACCAAAACAAATTCTGGCACTAAAAGCACTCTACACTTTGGCCTCAAACACCTTTCCTTCTTTACTTCCTGTATTATCTCCTCCATTCAGATCAGACGGAACTACTCAGTCACCCACACTTGTCAGACTCATTCTTCTTTTGTCCTTTTTCTCAACTAATCCTTCTTCTTTTGACCTGAGAGATTCCACCTCTGACTTAAAAGTTACTGTTCACTGAATTCTGCAGAATGAACTAAGGTGGCAGGCAGGGGCCCTCAGAGATGCCATACGTTACACCACCTGAGGATGCTTTCAGAGCACCACCTGTGTGTGACTCTTTGCCATCTTGCCTTGGCTCACTTCCCTGTGTGCTTGGAAAGCAGAGACGATAGGTGAGACCCCAAAATGCAACTTCCAAGCCATCTCCTTTTCAAAGCCCACATCCCCCAATTATTTTGCAACCAACATGAAGAGGACAGAGTTTCTGCCCAATGGGTTGCTTTTTGGGAGAGACTGAGCAGATGACTTCATATGAACCCAGATCTAGTCAACCTTCTAGCCTGAAAAAACCTGAAATGAATAGTAGATAGTTTACATAGGGACTGAGGCTGAATGAGCAAAAGGGTGGAGAGATGGATAATGAACACATAAACAAGTATGACAATTTCAGTAAAGAAGATAAAATGGTGCAAGTATATGCTGACAGTAGGGTATTGCTTTAACTACGCTGGTCAGGGTAATCCTTTCTGACTGGTGAAAAGCAGAGAAACAGACCAAGTGAAAATTCTCCTAAAAGTGTGAACCTGACCATAATTTTTTTTTAATTTTTAGAGCCAGAGTCTTTGTCTGTCACCCAGGCTGGAGTGCAGTGGCGCGATCACAGCTCACTACAGCCTCAAACTCCTAGCCTCAAGCCATCCTCCTGCCGCAGCCTCCCAAAGCAGTAGAATTACAAGCGTGAGTCACCATGCCCGACCATCATCATAATTTTTTTTTTTTTTTTTTTTGAGACGGAGCCTCACTCTGTTGCCTAGGCTGGAGTGAAGTGGTGCACTCTTGGCTCACTGCAACCTCCGCTTCCTGAGTTCAAGCAATTCTCATGCCTCAGCTTCCTGGGATTACAGGCGTGCACCACACACCAGGGTAATTTTTGTAGTTTTAGTAGAGACGTGGTTTCACCATGTTGGCCAGGCTGGTCTCGAACTCCCGACCTCAGGTGATCCACCCTCCTCGACCTCCCAAAGTGCTGGTGCTGGGATTACAGGCGTGAGCCACCCAGCCTTCCTCATCATAATGTAAATGTCCAAAATCAGCAGTAAAAGTGAAAGCCAGAATGAAAAAGGGAGATGATGACAGAGGTAAAGGCTCATGTGATTGGAACCATTTCGGGAAACAGGACAGGAATGGTAGCAATTAAGAAGCCGGTCCACACTATTTGCTATCCTAGGTGTGAATAGTGAAGAGAAAGTGCAAGTAGAGCGCCAAGGGTAAGAGAAGGAAATTAGTTATTCCACCTTCTGGTTGGCTACGGTCTTCCTGCCCTCCTCCCCATGGCGCAGCAACTCCTCCACCTGCTGCAGCGCCGCGCCCCAGCTCCCACGAGGGCCACGGGTTCTAGCTCCGCCCCACAAGGAGGACTTCCGTGTCCTCGGCCATCCCACTACCCCCTCCCTTAGCGGTTCTGCGCAAGCGCGGGGGCCATATTAGCAGCGGTTATTCGGACAGCCCTGGTGGTTTATTTTCCCGCGGAGATAAGGGCTCAGTGGACATCTGAAGTCTTCAGGGTCTTCCATCTGGTGAGCCTTTGGCCCCTGGGGGCCCGCGGAAGCATGGCCGCTCTTCCCTTGGGCGGGGGTCGTGAACGTCAAGACAGTCGGTCCCGGCCTGCAGTTGCCGCCGAGGAGCCGTGGGCACGATGACTCTGCACCGCCTTCACGGTGACAGACCAGCAGCCGGGAATGGCCCCCTCCGGCCGCCGTTGGAGGCTTCCCCGTGCCGAGCCTGGACGCCGGGGCCCGGCGAGGGGGCGAGCTGAGGGTGGGGGACTGTGGGCAGGACCGAGGACTGCGTCCTCGGCGGCTTCCGTCCCCGGGAGTTCGGTACGTGAAAGTTAGCGCTCCCGGAGGTGCCGGTGAACCCAAAATCGTGCTGTGACCGGCGTCAGGCGTGGAGACCACAGAAAGTTGTGCTTACGCTCGAATCAGAAATCCCCGGCGAGTCTCTCTGTGTCCTACCTGTTTCTCTGCTCTGGGCCATCCTTACTTTGCCCCTTCCTATTACCTCAACCAGTTCGCTGCCCTCCGTCTCTCACCAGCCAGAGGGATCATTTAAAATGCTAATCAGTTCTTGTGGGCCTTGGGAATCATTCCGAGGAGCCCCAGTGGCTGAGAGAGAAAATTCTGTTTTTACCTGGGCACGCGGGCTCTCCAGGATTTGATTCCAGCTTACCTTTCCAGTCTTGATTCCCTGTATTCCAGTATTTGGGAATGTGGGCTTTGGACTGAGGCTTTACCAAATAACACTGAGCACCCAGTATTGCCTTTTGCACGAATGGTACTGATGGTGCCCAAGATAACTGCCTCCACCCCCAAGTTCAGGACTCTCTGGAGAAGGCCTAAGTGCCTTAACTTGGCATTCAAGGCTCCGCGGGATTTGGATACTCGCTTAGCTCTTATTTATGTATTTTTAAAAACATCAGCAGTTTGTCTCATGCCCACTAAGCTATTCTGCCTCAGTACCCTTTGTTCATACTTTCTGCTCTGTCTGGAGTGCCCTTCCCTTCTTTCTTCCCCTGTTCTTTCTCTTAGACCCAAGAGTTCTCAGCCTTATTTCTGCCTCTCCCGTCTCTGATTTACTTTCATTTTATGTATCGGTTTCTCAAAAAATACTTTCTGGATTTTTTTCATCATCCCTTTTCCCATTCTACGCCCGGTTCCTCTTTCCGCATTATAATCTATGACTGCCTCTCTCACCTAACTGCCAGTATTAGCTTTTCAGGACAGGAATTGGTTTTACACATTTTGGTATTCCAGCATCTAGCATAACGCCTGACACTTAGCTGAATAAAGGGAGTAAATAAAACTGATTTGTAAAGTCAGCAAATGCTTTTTAATTTGTGAATCTTATTTTAATGATGATTGATTTTCTTTTTACAGGAACTATATAAAGTTCAGAAAACATGGTGAGTTAATACATGTGCCAGTAAACTGTTGCCTGATAAATAGTATTGCTTGTATTCAGCTTACAGACTTGTGTGGGAAAATTGAAATAGAAGGAAAGCAGTGAGATGGTGCCTTTTTTCTTGTCAGTTTCCTCTCACCTGCTGAACTTTGTATACCAGGATAGGTTTTGTAAGGTGATTTGTAGGCTTGCAGGAGTTGGCCTACTTTCAGTGGGTAGGAATCACTCATGTGTTTTTCCTTTGCAGTCTCGAAGATATGACTCCAGGACCACTATATTTTCTCCAGAAGGTAAAATAGAAATTGTTTAATCTGCCTCAAGTTTAAAAAAAAAAAAAAAGTGTTAGACTTTTAGAAAAAAAAAATTACAAACTTTTTTTGGTAGTTGCAAAGTTCATCCTTTTTGTACTTCGAAGCAATTATGGTCACCGGGTTGATTATACCATAGAAGAGTGAAAGGGGGAATTTGTTTCTAGCTTGCTTCCTTGCTAATTTCTTTTGGGTCAGTGGTGCAAGAGCATAGAGGAGAGTCTTGGCTTCTCACTGCTTTTGTTTTGTAGGTCGCTTATACCAAGTTGAATATGCCATGGAAGCTATTGGACATGCAGGCACCTGTTTGGGAATTTTAGCAAATGATGGTGTTTTGCTTGCAGCAGAGAGACGCAACATCCACAAGCTTCTTGATGAAGTCTTTTTTTCTGAAAAAATTTATAAACTCAATGAGTAAGTGAGATTTTAGAAAAGAGTTTTAAAAAAAAATCTCACTTTCTCACATAAGTGGGATCTATGTAATTTGGGAGGGCTCTTCCGTGTGATGTGGTAGGATTGAAGTTGTACCTTTATTTTGTTTGAAACCTCTTTGAGGCCTGGTACCATGTGTTACTCCTTTTAAGTGCAGGGCAAACACTTAGTGGAGAAACTAGCATTGTGTAGTGGTAAAAGTACAGACATAGTAGTCACACAGATTTGGGTTCAACTCCAGGCTTCCCCCATGCAGGCTATGTGATCTTGCACAAATTATTTAATTTCTTTGGGCCTCAGAGTCTCCTCAAGTGGTTGTGGCAGTTTAATGGAATAAAATGAATGAAATAAAATAGTATAGTGTCAGGCATATAGTAGGCCCTCAAAGTATTGTTTAGAATAGCTATGCAGGATTTTGTTGAATTCTACTGAATCTTACTAAAGAACAAGCCTGTTGGAGATCTGGGAAGAATTTAGCCAAGCCTTGTACACGGTGTGAGATGTTGGTTATATTTAGATGTGCAGAACTTTGCAGCTCATGGAGAGCTGGCCATGCTAAGTAGAGACTTTCCCTTCAGTGATGGTGGGCTTGGTAAATGCTGATTATCAGGGCCTTTGGATACACTTGTCCAAAGTGGTGTCACCCCTCCACAGAGCCTCTGTTGGGCTCACCCAACAGCTGGCACACTTGGCTAGGCATAGTCACAGGGTGAGTCTCAGCTATAAGAGAGCCAGGGCAGCCCTCAGGAAATGGTCCAAAAAAAATGAAATGCACCTCGAGTAGGAGCCTAGCCCTGTACTTCCTAAGCAGGCTTGTAAACCCTCCTGCCACTGTCCCCCGTCACCTCCATCAAGCCAGGCCTTAGGAAATGAATACTACTCAAGAGCAATCTGTCTAGCAAAATCTTTTTTTTTTTTTTTTTTTTGAGACAGATTCTCGCTTTGTCACCCAGGCTGGAGTACAGTGACGCCATCTCGGCTCGCTGCAACTTCTGCCTCCCAGGCTCAAGTGATCCTCCCACCTCAGCCTCCCAAGTAGCTGGGACTATAGGTGCGCACCACCACACCCAGTTAGTTTTTGTATTTTTTGTTGAGATGGGATTTCGCCACATTGCCCAGGCTGGTCTTAATCTCCTGGGCTCAAACCCTCCATCTACTTCGGCCTCCCAAAGTGCTGGGATTACAGGCATGAGCCATTGTGGCGAGCCTGTCTTTGTATTCTCTGTTGCTAAATCTTCTTGAGATTTACTTTAGCTTCCTGGCGTAAATCCTGTTACCCTATTCACAGGGTGGTAATGATAAATACATCTATTAACGAACTTAAGGGTGCATTTATTTATCTTTCACGTTGAATGACATCAAGTAAACGTCTCCTACAAAGATAAGACTTTTATAGGTTTCTTCTGAAGGAAGTAGCTGCTGTGAAGCAAACGTAGTGAATTGCTAATAGAATTCTGTGCTTTTTAATATTTATAAATGCTCCTTGCAGGCATCTTCCCTGCTTACAGATCAATATCTTTTTTTCTTCAAGGGACATGGCTTGCAGTGTGGCAGGCATAACTTCTGATGCTAATGTTCTGACTAATGAACTAAGGCTCATTGCTCAAAGGTATGGTCATATATAGCATAACTGATGATACAGAAATTAGTTTTGATGTTTCTTTGTTTTTTTGAGATGGAGTCCCACTCTGTTGCCCAGGCTGGAGTGAAGTGGCACCACCTTGGCTCACTGCAACCTCTACCTCCCGGGTTCACGCCATTCTCCTGCCTCAGCCTCCCAAGTAGCTGGGACTACAGGCGTGTGCCACCACACCCGGTTAATTTTTGTATTTTTAGTAGAGACGGGGTTTCACTGTGTTAGCCAGGATGGTTTCGATCTCCTGACCTCATGATCCACCCACCTCGGCCTCCCAAAGTGCTGGGATTACAGGCATGAGCCATTGCAGCCGGCCTAGTTTTGACGTTTCTAAGGAGAGCTCACTTTTGCAAAGATTAAAGTCATTAAAAATCTTTGAGTTGAAAATTACAGATTTTTTTCAACCAAACTTACAAAATGTTACTTACTATGAGAATATTCGGATATTGACTTGTTCCCTCCCCTTCAAATTACAAATGACTGTTAGGTTGTCCCCATAGCATGGATTGCTTTTCAGAGAATATTTTCCTTAGAGTCTGTCTGTGTTTTGGAGAAAACTACTAATATGCCCATCTCTTTATCCTAGGTATTTATTACAGTATCAGGAGCCGATACCTTGTGAGCAGTTGGTTACAGCACTATGTGATATCAAGCAAGCATATACACAATTTGGTGGTACTTAATTTTTTTGAAAATGTTATTCCAAAAAGTTAAGACATTTTATGAGTTATAACCCTTTTGAGGTAGTAAAAAATTGAAAATAGACCCTTTGTTTTAAATTGAATTTAATTTTTTTAATTGACAAATAAGAATTGTACATATTCATTGGATACATAATGATGTTTCGGTACACATAATGATCAGATCAGGGTAAATGGCACATTAATCATCTCAAACACTTCTTTGTGTTGGGAGCCTTCCATATCCTTCTAGCTATTTGAAACTAATGTGTTACAGTTAACCATATTAATCCTACAGTGGCGTAAAACACTAGAATTTCATACATTCTTGCTTCATGAATGAATGTGTTCCTCCGCCATGTAGATTACCCTAGTTTTATTAATAGGATATTGAAAGTCCAAAACAACATTTTCAGATCTGGAAACTAACTGCTGTTTACATAATAATGAAATTCAGTACTGGTCCTTTCTCTGTTCCCTCTCCTGGCTGTGTCCAAATCATAGAAACAAGTGGAATTTGTAATGGAGCTTATCTCTGGTAGCCAGAATACAGAACAGTTTATGAATGCTTAAGTTCACAGAGAAAGGTTTAGCTACATTCACTGAGCTCAAGTAACTATAGTGATACTAAATTTAGATTATTGATATATTTGGCTTTTTTTCTTTGTTAAAGGAAAACGTCCGTTTGGTGTTTCATTGCTGTACATTGGTTGGGATAAGCACTATGGCTTTCAGCTCTATCAGAGTGACCCAAGTGGAAATTACGGAGGATGGAAGGCCACATGCATTGGAAATAATAGCGCTGTGAGTATTTTTGTTGTGCTGTGAAATCTAGCAGAACGTCTAATAGATGCCATAATTTTGCCGTGGTGATGGATGTAAACAGTATTTAAAGATAGCTGCAACAGCCTTAATGTGATATGGAAATATCTGTGATTTCTGTTGGGGACAGAGTTGCTGGTATAGCTAATACACTGGGGTTCATTAACTACATTAATAAATGCTAATTTTCAGTTAGGAGTTGTGAAATTAGAAGTTGTGATTTTGTTTCACATCCTAGTTTACAGACCCCTTGGGAGACTGAGGACCTCAGGTTAAAGACACACCATATAGAGCATCAGTACCACCTCTTCTCACCCTGTGCCATGTGTGCCCTCCCTGTCATCAAAATTATTTATATGGGCCAGGCATGGTGGCTCATGCCTGTAATCCCAGGCCGAGGCAGGCAAATTGCTTGAGCCCAGCAGTTTGAGACCAGCCTGGGGAACATAGCAGAACCCCATCTCTACAAAAAGTACAAAAATTAGCTGGGCACCATGGCATGTGCCTATAATCCTAGCTACCCAGGAGGCCAAGGTGGGAGGAGGAGCACCTGAGCCGGGGGGACTTGAGGATACAGTAAGCTGAGATCATGCTACTGCACTCCAGTCTGGGCAACAGAGTGAGCCCGTGTCAAAAAAAAAAAATTGTTTATACTTGTAATGCCAATAGTAATTCAGGCATTTTTCTTCTAGACCAATTCATGTTTCTAAGAAATGTAAAAACTTAAAATTCTGTGTTGATTCATGTTTTATAGGCAGCTGTGTCAATGTTGAAACAAGACTACAAAGAAGGAGAAATGACCTTGAAGTCAGCACTTGCTTTAGCTATCAAAGTACTAAATAAGACCATGGATGTTAGTAAACTCTCCGCTGAAAAAGGTAATCCATATCCTCTGCTTTAATTATTTCAACTGAGCAAGGGGAATTAGCAGCTGTTAAGTTTTTTGTTTTTTTTTTTAAATATGGAGTATTGCTCTGTCACCAGGCTGGAGTACAGTGGCACAATCTTGGCTCACTACAACCTCTGCCTTCTGGGTTCAAGTGATTCTTCTGCCTCAGCCTTCCATGTAGCTGGGACTACAGGCTCACGCCACCACGCCCAGTTATTTTTTTTTTATTTTATTTTTTTGAGTCTCGCTCTGTCACCCAGGCTGGAGTTCAGTGGCGCAATCTCGGCTTACTGCAAGCTCTAACTCCCAGGTTCACACCATTCTCCTGCCTCAGCCTCCCAAGTAGCTGGGACTACAGGCACCCACCACCACGCCCAGCTGATTTTTTGTATTTTTAATAGAGACGGGGTTTCACCATGTTAGCCAGGATGGTCTTGATCTCCTGACCTCGTGATCCGCCCGCCTCGGCCTCCCAAAGTGCTCTGATTACAGGCATGAGCCACCGTGCCCGGCCTAATTTTTGTATTTTTAGTAGAGACGGGGTTTCACCATGTTGGCCAGGCTGGTCACAAACTCCTGACCTCAGGTGATCCTCCCACCTTGGCCTCCCAAGGTGCTGGGATTACAGGCGTGAGCCATCGTGCCCAGCCAGCAGCTGGTAAGATTTTTAACATCATCCTAGTTCATTGAAACAGCAACCTTATGAATTACGTGATGTTATCCCTGTCTTCTGAGGATACTAGGGCTTAATGAGGTTAAGTGAGTTGAGCAAGACCAACATTGGTAAATTGTGGAGTCACAATCTCATACTGTATTCCACACTTAAAGGCTTGATACTGAACAGTCTCAGTACTCACAGATAGACATCCTGCACTGTGTCACTTTTAGTTAATAGTTACCAAGTCTTCTCATCAATGTCTTTGGTTCTATGTATGATAAAGCATATGTATATAGTTATATATTTATACATAGGTTTGGTATACCTTACCAGAGATACAACATTTGCATGGGTTGTGATACCCTCTCCTGTTCTTAATCTACTAATCTCTTATTTTAAGCTCATGTTAGCAATTCCAAATACTTTGTTCAACTTAAGCTATATGACTATATAAAAGAATATTTCAGTCGAGCATGGTGGCTCGCACCTGTAATCCCAGCACTTTGGGAGACCAAGTTGGGTGGATCACCTGAGGTCAGGAGTTCAAGACCAGCCTGGGCGACAGAGACTCCACCTCAAAAAAAAAAAGAAAAAGAATATTTCTAAATGTTTTTCAGAAATTGTGGTAAATTAACATGTTGCTTTATGTTAGGACAGTTTAGCTTCTGGTGTTCCTTAGAAAATGCCATTTATGGTCAGGCACATTGGCTCACGCATATAATCCCCAACACTTTGGGAGGCCGAGATGGGCGGATCACCTGAGGTTAGGAGTTCAAGACCAGCCTGACCAACATGGTGAAACCCCCGCCTCTACTAAAAATACAAAAAATTGGCCAGGTTTGGTGGCGCATGCCTGTAATCCCAGCTACTTAGGAGGCTGAGACAGGAGAATCACCTGAACCCGGGAGACAAAGGCTGCAGTGAGCTGAGATTGCACCATTGCACTCCAGCCTGGGCAATGAGCAAAACTCTGTCTCAATAAAAACAAAAAGAAAATGTCATTTACATGCAGATTTCCCTCTGTTGTCTACTTCCACCCAGTTTCAAGGAGGCACTACTCACTTTCCCTGGTACAAAAAAATTCCTTCCCCTCGAGGTATCAGTCTGCTTTTCTTGGCCATTTCTTGCCCCCTTTTTTTTTTCTTTTTTTTAAAGACTTGAAAAGTCCATAAAAAATAAGCTATTATTACCAGTTGAAGATTCTGGCTGAGCCCTCAGAGGTTCCTACAAGAAAATTGTGGTTCGTCTAATCGGCACAGCTAATAGCAGGCCAGCAATAGCAATTGGTCGATTATACTTTTTCTAAGGGAGTGACAAAATGGCCACTAAGAAAGTTGGGATGGGTGAGGAGAAGGTATTTAAGTAAAAATTGTAATTAAAACATTACAAAATCAAAGATATTTTGTTCTCATAAAAGGGAATAATATTAAGCATAAAACATAGGAGAGTGCTGAACTAATGTTTAAATGATGTGACGAGCATAAACCATGAGTGCCTATTAAGTTTCTCTGCTAAGTATGCCTGCCTGCAGTACAAATACATGTATGTGTTTGTTTTTAGTGGAAATTGCAACACTAACAAGAGAGAATGGAAAGACGGTAATCAGAGTTCTCAAACAAAAAGAAGTGGAACAGTTGATCAAAAAACATGAGGAAGAAGAAGCCAAAGCTGAGCGTGAGAAGAAAGAAAAAGAACAGAAAGAAAAGGATAAATAGACAAAATTGGAGATTTTATTACTCATTTGGGGCACCATTTCAGTGTAAAAGCTGTCCTACTCTTCCACACTAGGAAGGTTTTGACTTTTTTTAACTGGTGCAGTGGGAAAATAGGACATTACATACTGAATTGGGTCCTTGTCATTTCTGTCCAATTGAATACTTTATTGTAATGATGATGGTTACTCTTCATGGACATCTTAATCTTCCACACACATCCTCTTTTTTTGGAATAAAATTTGGAAAATGGAAATGAAGGAATAAATTCTCTGTAGCAGTAATTGTTAAATATACAAAAACTGACAGGGCGATCATCTTTTGCACACTGTGGCTTACAGTCCTTTCACAAAGATGGGCACATTCTTCAAGCTGACCAGACTATTTGTCGCTGTCTGCAGGGATTGGTTTGAGAATGAACACTTGAGCTGAACAAAGCCAGAATTAATATATAGGTGTGGATCTTGCAGCTAGGACTGAGGCTGCCCACAGGCAGCAGCCCAAGCTGCGTGGAAGATGAGGTATAGAAGTTAAGGCCACAGAGGAAAAGTGGAACCAAGAGATGAGAACAGTTATGTGTTGGCTGAAGGGAGCTCTGTTGCTGGGCTTTGTTCAACCTGAGTTCCCTTGGGTGTCTGTGGCTTCATGACAGAAATGATAATGGGGCACTTAATGCATAGCCATGGTGCTTTAGCATCACCTATGCAGATTCTGATGTCCCATCCCAGATCTACTGAATTAAAATGTCTGAGGGTGGAACCCAGTAATCTGTTTTAACAAGCTCTGCATGTGATTCTTAGGAATGCTAAATAAACCTTTAGAAGGTTTTGTTGCATATTAGAATCACCTGGGAAGCTTTTGCAACTTGTAAGCATGCGATATCAATTAACTCAAGCTGTGGTGGAACCCAGATAGTAACATAGCTTAAACTCTTCAGGTGATTTCCATCAGCCAGAATGAGACCGGTGCATTGAGCCATTCTTTACCCTTCTCTCAGCTGTTGTCAATCAAATATGGGATTGCAGTCTAATTCCTCATTGTAGATTTTCTTAATGCAGCTCCCTGCAGTTTTCTGTATTGGCTAAGGTATTTCCAAGCCCTATTTGCAGTGCTTTTTTGAACTTCTAAATTATTCCGTTACTCTGTACAGCTGGTTCTCATTATTTTTGGTAATTATATTCTAAATTCACTGCTAAAACTAAATAACTGAACTCTTGCACCTAGGGGAAGTACTGGGTTAGGGTCCTACAAGCCACTGGTAACATTTTTACCAACTGATCAGTACATAACCTGTTTTTTGTGTGTTTCTACTTAAAGACACCTTTTTAAATGTATATTGTGGATTCATTAACATAGAACTCAGCCAACAGCTCTTTACCTAAATGTTTTAGTTTTGTTTTGTTTTTTGAGACTGGGTCTTGCTCTGTCACCCAGGCTGGAGTGCAGTGGTGTGATTATATTTCACTGCAGGTTCAAACCATCTTCCTGCCTTGACCTCCCAAAGTGTTAACATCACAGCCCTCTTATGCTTAGGAACAACACTAAACTTTTTTTTCGTAGAGACAGCAAGCAGGGAAGGTCTCACCATGTTTCCCGGGCCAGTCTCAAACTCCCGGACTCAAGTGATCCTCCTGCCTCAACCTCCCAAAGTGCTGACATCACAGCCCTGAATGTGCCAAGCGCCCCTCGCATCACTTGCCAATCCTTCTGCCTTGAGAATGCTCTTCCTGGGTATCTATCACCCACTCCCTCATCTCCAGGTCTCTGCTTGAATGTCACCTTTTTGGGGGTACTTCTGTGAAGGAGCAATTTTTTTCCCCTGCACACTTAACATTTTCTATTCCCCATACATACCCTGTTGATTTTTTCTCCATAGCACTCATCACCAACTGGTGTATTTGTTTATTGTCTCTCTCCACTGGAATACAGGCTTCCAGAGCAGTACTTTGTTTTCATTCAATAGTTGTGTCTCAGTACCTAGAACAGAAACTGGCACATGTTAGGCAACAAATAAATACTGATGAATGAATAAATGCCCTGGATATGCTGGTGTGAAATCCTAAAAAATACCCACTTTCCATCCAGATCAATAGCACTGGTGGATTTTCTGTATTCTGACTACCCCTTCAACACTTGCCTAAAGCTAGGACAACTTCTTCAAAGGCAATAGTGGATAAGAGAGGCTGGTATAGTTTGCCGCCACGTTAGGAAAGTCTTCAGAATTTGACCCTAACAACAGGCAAATTTCAATGTATTCATCCTTTTGTTGAAATAAGTTCATACCACAGGGAAAAGCAAAAGATAGGAGGTGAGGCAAAGGCTACTCTATAACTGGGTTTTTTCCCTGCTATAGGGTTTGCCTACCTAGTCTAGATTCTCACACTAGTCCGACTTTCCTCTGCTCTGTGGCAGATTTTTAACCCGAGTTGCAGGGCTGTTGGTTTCCAGAGTGTTGCCTGATGCATCCCAAATGTCGGCTTAGCAATCAATACACATCTGAACAGGGGCCCATCACTAATAGCAAGCATCTCATTCATCTGGGCAAAACTCATGGGTTTTCACAGGGACCCTACCAGCTCAGAAGCACCTCGATATACATAAGTAGAAACCAAAGACAGCTAAGTTTTAAATCTTGAGTCAAAACTTTAAAATCAAAGTCAAGTTGATTTCATTTTGGTGAGCTTTCAAATCATGCTTTTAAAAATAAATAATGTAAAAAAATCATGTACTCCTATGTATAATTTTACTTCTGGTGTTTTTTCTTAATCAGAAAATAAAGGAAGACTCTGGAATTTGTACAGTCTAGCACTTTGAAAGTTTCATGAGAGTGTTTGTTTTAGCAGTGCAAAAATATTCCATACTCTGAAAAACAAAACCAGAAAGTTGATTCATTCCTTCATTGGACACTTACCATGTTCCCGATAATTTTAGGTGGTGGGGATACATGGATAAGACATGTTCTCGGCTCTTAACTTGCAGTCTTGCAGGAAAAGTGGATAATCAACAACTTAATATTGTGGAGGAGTGCTAGACTCCAGGTAACTGTGTGCTGAAGGGTAGGGAGTAAAGGCAGAAGGAACCGCACGTGCAAAGGCTTGGTAATGGGAAAACTTCACAGTAGCTAAGCAGAGCTAGAGCACAACTTACTGGGGAAATAAGAGATGAGGTTGGAAATGTACACTAGGATGAGAAGACAGCTTTGCAGGTCTTGAAGTCTGTGCTGTATGCAATGCAGAGGCAGCTGAGATTTTTTAGTGAATAAGAAAAACAATTACTCTGACTCGTTTAGAACAATGATTCTGGGAGCCCAGAAGATGGACTAGGTGGGAAGAGACAGTGAGTTAGGAGGCTACTGAAATAGGCAAGGAAAGATGACGGTGTAAGACTGTAGCAAAGGGAACAGAGAGGAAGGGAAGCTGCCATGGAGTGACAGAGAGAAAAAGAAAGGGATGACAAGGGCGTCAAATTCAAGCAGTCACAATCTGATCTAAAAAAGTACTCAGTGAACACGATGAACGACTCTTAAAATTTCCTAATGTCTTTTTTGTTACTATTGTTATCACATGAAACCAATTAGAGTTAATATTCCTAGTAGGGAAGAATTCTATAAACAACATTGCATATCACACATCAGGGTAAACCCATGTCAAATGCTTTTTTCCCCTTCTTCTTCCAGATATTATTCATTTGTATTCTTGTGTGCACTGTCTGATCATCTTTTTTCCCAATTTCTATCAGAGAATTTAACTTTCTAAAAATTCATTTGTGAGCTCTTTTAAAATAGTTGTTTGTCATCTGTGTTACATTTTTTTTCATTGTAGCATTTGCATTTTTATTTTGTTTTTGATGCTGATGTACCGAAGGGTTGTTTTGTGTTTATGTAAACAAAGCTATCATTTCAAGTTCTTGTTAGTACAATGCACATAAAAATATTCCCCATGCCAAAGTACATCAACGTTATTCTAGTAAATTTGTGGTGTAATCATCTTTATAATACACAATTTGCAAAATATAATTGTTAATCTATTTTTAAAAGCAGTATTTAAATTAATCATGAAACTTTAATTCAATTGTTCAGACTACTTGGGAATTTTCCATTCTTGAGTGAATTCAGAATTACATGAAATGATAGTTATTTACCTTTCTCCATTTATTTTTGTTATTTTTTGGTAACAGCCTTACTGAGATACAGTTCACATACCATACAATTCGCCCATTTAAAGCATACATTTCAGTCGTTTTTTGTATACTCCCAGAATTATGCAACCAGCACCACAATCAATTTAGAACATTTTCATCACCCCAAATATAAAACTCCACATACTTCTTAGCCATCACCCTCAAATCACTGCCCAGTCCTAGGCAACCACTCATCTTCTTACTGTGTCTACGGATTTGCCTATTATGGACATTTCATGTAAATGGAATCATACAATATGTGGTCCTTTGTGTCTGGCTTCTTTCACTTAGTGTAATGTTTTCAAGGTTTATCTATGTTGTAGTATGCATTAGTAATTTGTTTACTAGATTAGAGAAAAAAAGCAGAGATGTATTTTTTTTCCATTGTATGGTTATACTACATTTTGTTTATCTACTCATTGGCAAAAATATGAGTTATTTCTACTCTTAAGAGTAATGCTGATATGTACACCCATGTACAAGTTTTTTGTGTGGACACACGTTTTCATTTATTTTGAGTATACACCTTGAAGTAGAATTTTTGGTTTATTTTAAAATCCATCTTTATGCCGTACATTAACATTAGTGATATGGATTTTTTAAAAAATCTACTTTGCCCTATTTTCTCCTATAAGAACCCAATAGAAAAGGGAAATGGGTTGACTATTTGAGTAAATGTATATGAATCTGTTAGTTATAGAAGTAGGTCTCACAGTTGGAGAGGATTTTCACTTCCTTTCATCTTGGCAGGAGGAATGTTTTCTCTAAGTTTCTTTATACTTAACACTAGAGAGGCCAAATCTTTGATTCTGTACCTAAGAGCTTTATGTAATAACCTCTGAAAAATTAGGAATCACATGGAATGGGAGAATCCAGGGTAAATTGTCTTCTGAGTCCTGAACAACCTAATAACTTACTTTCTCTGATTAGGAAAGCAATGCATGATCACTTTGGAAAACACACAGTGAATACAATAAAAATCACCCATAATATCTTGCCCAGAGTTAGCCACTATTAACTTATCTCATTGGCCCAGTTTAGATACTGAATGAGTATACCGGTAACCTTCAGCAAATTATAGGCAAACTA